TGCGTACCGCGGCGTTTTCGCGAAAACGGGCGCCTGTGGCCGACGCCTTTTTGTCGACGCGACTCGTGGCGCGCCGAGTATAAACAAATGTGATTTTTATCATATACATATGACATAAAAATAATGCATATACTTCGTATTATACATTACACTTGTATGCATGACTATGATAAGTAAAGTTGGATACCATTACGTGATAAACGTGATGGGCTAAAAACATGCGAAAATTGACAAAAAGGTTGATAAATTCAAGAAGGATTGGAAACAGGACGTAATATGTTTATAAATTGTTCAGCTTTACTATTTTGCGAATTTTTAGTGGAGTCACAGCCAGAATTTTGGCTTGACTGGTTACTAAGAAATAAACAAAGGATATAGTAGCTGAAGAATTTCCCAAAAAATTTCGATAACTCAGCTCTAGTTTGGTCCCGCAATTTCCACACATATATTTCTTTCCGGAAGACTTCACAAATATACTGACACTCTTGAGTCAGCGAACAATGCTAAATAAGTTCAAACGAAGCGTGCTGCACCATGTGTAGCACGCGGCCATACAGAGGCAAACGGGCGTGCTGCACATGGTGCAGCACGCGGTACGCAATGGGTTAAAGGCCTTACCACAGAACTGGAGCTCCACTTCTCAAAATCTGTGACCGCGAGCGTTGCCTTTGTTTCTACTAGATTCATATTTATGACTCATCACCTATAGATGGCGGTGTCCTTGATAAAATGACTCGGACGAACACTAATATGTACACATAGATTTTCTCTATGGCATTATATACTCGGGATAGGAGGGAGTTATGAACCGTAGAAGCGCTTTGCACTAGGATTTATGCTACAGGCATAAGACAGAGATGGAGATGCTGATTTTACAGAACTTCTTCATAACTAATGGATTTGTTCCGGCGCTCATTTGTGTGATTGGATGTTACCTCTATATAATTGGAACTGTTCCCAAGTTTGCTGTGGAACCGTCTCTTACACAGTACAGCTCCTCAAGCAGCTCTAGTAAGTTTCCAACAAAAGAGATTGATCCATTTAGCTCTTGCTCATAGATAACGAGAAATTCAAAAAGGGAGCGATCAAGAAACAATTAGTCCAAATTCCTAGGGGTGGACTGTACGGGATTGGGGTGGGTTCGGGAGTGTGTGGGGAGGTCGACCGGTGAACGAAAGCAAATATCCATGGCAGCCCACTTCCTCAGCTGTCCTTTAGTTTATGCAGGACATTACAGCATAAATCTTGCCTGCTTTGACAATTCGGCTATTATGGCTTGTCTTTTGTGACTGTCTCCTCTTTCCAGAGTCCTTCATGGTTTTCACAATGCCACCACAAGAATTCAGAACAGAAAAATCACCAGAGTGAAGGATGGTTGGTCAAAGAAAAATGAAAAACAAGAGAGAAACAACCACCTGGCGTTATCACTTTGCAACAACGTCGGTTTTCCTTTGACCTTATTTGTGTCTTTCCCAAACTCAAGTTTCTGGAACTTTCTAAGGTGGCTTTGGTACAACCTTGTTCGCTGTGGATGATGTAGCGTGTCAGCGCGGCTGCGTTTGGCTCGCTGCCAGACCATTCTCCAGAGGTTGTTGAAGAGGGCAAGTGACAACAGCTGCTTGAAAACGACTCATACGAACGTTATGGTATAGACTTGTCGATTCCCGAAAGGAAAACAAAGAGAGAAAAGGGTTGGAGCCGCGGCAAACGCTATATAGTAACAGCTAGATACATCTGTGAGGCAGAGTGATAGAGACCAACTCTGAAGGCTGAGCAACCGTTTTCAACATGACCACCGGAACTAGGAACACGAAATCTTCGAAGTTGAAAAAAGTCCAATTCATGTAGCTTTTCCCAGAAAAAACATATTTTCGCAGTTTGGACCTGTCCTAGGTGGAAGCATAAATAACCACATAACCATCTGGCACTATGGAGAAAAAGTCATCTTTTTATTTGAACACTTTTTGTCCTCTACAGGAGCTGAAACGCTAGTATTCACTAGCCTTAAAGGCTGAGCCCGCGTTCAAATATGATGAGTTATGCGGCTCAGATAGTAATAGCAAGGTAGCAAATGATCCAGCAGTGAAAAAAGCAGAAAAACCGCTGAAATGTCCATATAGAACCCCATGCCGAACTGAGGTTGTACGTGCATAATGCGAAAAGAGGGTATCAGCTGTTTTCCCTTATCACCTCACTCTCACCATTCGAAGTGGAGAGTGTTAGTAGCAGAACAACCGCACCATCAGGCAACCATTAGAAATGAACGGTGGGCGGTGCCAATGATAGGGGGTTGGGCCAATGAGAAGAACGACGGTATCGTGGGCCTCCTCACTCGTTTTTGCGCCGCGAAAGTGGTGTAATCGCTGCCTCTGCGAACCTGGCTACCTGCTCACGAAGGGAGAAGGGATAGGGAAATCCCAAGTGAACCCGGGCACTTCCTTCAAGTTTAGCTTCATTTTTGAGAACCTCGAAACAAAGCATGAGCTCAGTTAATACACTCGATAGCCTGGCGCGGAGTGGGAAAAGTTTTGACTCGGAAAGCCCTGCCAAGCAACAAGTGCTAAGTATTCAACAGTCCGAGCGCTGAGCTTCAGATGGGTCGTATATACTTGTAGTCTGTGCATAAATAGTGAAGTGTTGGTGGAGCTAGCTCAGGGAAAAGAACGGTGCACTTGTATGTTAGGAAACTGATAAAGTAAAAGTGAAGCATCATTGATATTGTGAAGGAAGCTCTGTAACTATGAGTATTTCAGAAGAATATTTGATCTCATGGAATTTGATTGAGTCGAGCAAGGTGTACTATGAACACCCTTGTAGACCGGATTTGGAGACCTCACTTTATACGAATTTCAGTGAGGAACCAGAGCTACGTTGCGTTGCTGTGAGTTCTAGTACGTGAAGTCTCTCAGTGAAACTATCTCCATTTCGAAAAATAACACGGCGCTTGCTCTATGGAATTTAGCTTTGCTCCAGAGCTTCGCTTTCGCTCTCCTTCGCGGATCTGTACCTGCCGAGTGTGAGGTGAATAGTTCTGCAGCTGCAATGAGAGCTTTTTCTCCGATCGAATTGCACGGGAACGGAGCCGGAGGGAAGTGATACCCGAGTGCCGCTAGTCTCCACACTCCTCTCGCGCTTCCTTAGAGCTAGCCACACGCCTAAACGTGGCCGAATGCGCTGCTTGTCTGTGCCTCTCTCTTATGGTTGTTTTTTTCCTCGCCGCTGACCGCGTGTCTCGCTGGTGTGGCAGGGCACGCCATCGCGTTGTGATCATTTCCTGAAAAATACAACCCCCCTAATTCCATCTTCAAATACGACCCCCTCCCCTTCCTCATGCTACCTACAACTTTCACTTCCTACCACTATTTTCTTCCCAAAAAATTTCTGGTTTTGTCCGAAATTTTGCTGTCGAGCGGGACGGGGGGGGTCTTCAGAATTTAACTTTTCAACTATCGGAAATAATATTGTATAAATCTTCCGCAGTCCTCCCAACAACGGCTAAATGCGACCCCCCCTACATGGCGTCCGTGAAACAAGAGAAATCAACTATCAAAAAATTTTCTCAGACCAAATACGACCCCCCCTCCCTCGCGGTCAAATACGACCCTTCCCCGTTGTGATCATCACAACGATGGCGTGCCCTGGCTGGTGGACCTTGATATTGACGCAAGTATAACATCTTGCAGGGTAGCGTGGGCGTAGTATGGAAATGGCAATCGGGAACCACTACCCTGCGGCCCCGTTTCCATGCACTTCTGAGCGGAAAAAGTAGCACGCTACTGCAGCTGCTGGCTCATTCGCCTCGCACATGGCAAGGACCCTTCCCGGAGGTTGGTGAACCATTTGTCGCTGTTCTGCTCAGAGAAGTGCCCCCAGCCGCACAGCGTCTATTTTTCAATGACATTTTCAGGAAGGGAACGGAACGGCGAAGAATCTTGCTGATTGGCAACTCCATCGCATACAGGGCGTATCCATTGATTCACGACATCTTGGCCGGTCGTTACCGTACATTCCGTCTCTACTCTAAAAGCTGTGGGTTCTCACTGATATCAGCACTTTTATCTACACTTGGTCCAAAACGAGTTAAACGAGTTCCAGCCTGTCCTCCACTTTCCGACTGGTGCCCGGAATTCTCAAAGGCGACAAGGTTGGTAGTGAAACACGAAAAAGCCGGACATCCTTATGAATATACACCACAGCACGTAAGCTTGCAAGTTTTTACCACTTCGTCATATAGCAAAAGAGCCCGCTAAGCGGTGTGCTGGCATTGCGAAAGTGTTTCGAAAGAAACCCCGGATTTGATTTTACTCACAAGTAGTTCGTGCGTTGAAGCGGCTGGCCCCGACTAAAAGCAGACTCGGCGATGAGCCAGCGAAACTTAGTAGGTAGCGGAATCAGAATCCGAAGTGTATGTACCAGTTGACTCGCTCGTGAAGAAGAAAAGAGAGGGAATCGTCGGAGGCGCTGTAAATAAGGCCCTATTCGTGCCATGCGAGGGACAAGAAATTGAAGTGAATATTGGGCGAGAGGGCAGGCAAGCAGCGATAGAGACATGCAAATGAAGCGAAGACACGCAGAGCAAATAAAGCTGCCAGTGTGGGCCGAGTCACTGGATGCGAACCTTGTCCTTTCGTCTGCTATCTAGTTTTTCTTTTAATTTGTCTTGTATGGATGATATCTTTACTATCGACGTGGTGCTGATATCTATATCTGTTGTGTGTTATTGGGCCTGGCTGCCTTTGATCCCTCACGAAATTTCCTATCTAAATTACATGAACTTGCAGAACCTTCGCGTCCCTGCCTTTATAGTGAGCCAGTTCGGCGCGAAAATTGGTGCCTTATTACCGCTAGACAAATATGGCACTTTAACTGCTGTTCTCGCATGAATGGAAAAGTTGCTGGCTTATTTCGCCAAGTTTGGATCCCTGGAGCAGTGTGATGCCTAGAGCTATAGGGTTTCTCAGTGATTGATTAATACAATGCAGTACTAAGCAGATATTACTTTAGACATGAACCAATCGTGGCCCCTGTGAAAGACCTCAAAACTGATCCTATCTACAACCAATTTCAGTCCAATGTGGATTTCTTCAGGTACCGTTTTCCACTTCCCAGTACTGGTTTATGGAGTAGTGCGTGTCTCAGAAACCAGAGTTATGTGATTTTTTTTAATCACTTGATTTTCGTTCTTCTAAAAGAAAGGCATTTTTTGATAGTCGAATTAGAGGGATGTTGTGCTGGAGTAACTATGATAATCGCTAGAAAATTTTTTTCTTGCATTTCCGATCGAAATGAAAAAATTCGGCAGCAGTGTATGAACCTAAATGCTACAGGGGTTTTTCAGCAACTACTCTAAACACATTGTCATTGACATGCCATACTATAAGTATCCAGACACGATCACCGCAGCAGTGTTGGCTAAACGAATTCAGCAAGGTCTTCCTCCAGGTGATGATCTCGCCGTCACGTGGGAGGTAAGTCTTGATTATGGAAGTCCTACTACAAGCACAAGTAACTCTGCTGAAGCACTTCACTCATCGTCAGCACATATCCCTTATCGAAATCACAGTGGAGAGAATCGGCTTCGCCTGCTAAGGAGGGGTGGGTCGTATTTCATCATGAAATAAAGCTTTCATGATTTTGGTTCTTCTTAATTCCACGCATACTATAGTCGTCATCCGGGCAGTTGATTATCCGGCCCAAGGGTCGCGACGCGGCTGCAGCACGATCGCGGCGATCAGCTGTTTCCAGCCTAATTTAGCAATTTTCTCCCTAGTTTTCACTGTATTTTCTTTTTTCAAGGTCATTCTTTCAAGGT